ATTATAGGGGGATAATAGTAACTTAATTTAAGTTCCTTAACAGCAACCTAGTAATAGGGAGTGAGGCCCAGGATCCCTAGTGTAGTCCTGGTCTAATCCTCGATCATACTCGCCAGAAGCGAGTCAATGTTGATTTATGGCAGGTTTGGGGTCAAGTGTTGGTAGTGTGTTTGATTTGAAAAAGGGTTTTGGCGAAATTTCTGCTGCAATTACAAACTGATGACGACGGAATGATATTGCTGACTATTCAGGCTTCTGCACTAACCCCTAAGCCCTGGACCGTGCTTCAGATACTCTAAGAGCTTTGCGTTGTAGTCCGCCGCAGTGAGCTCCGAGGCTAGGGCGGTTCGGGCTGGTTTAGTGTAATGGCCACCTGGTTTAAGGATTCAGAGTTTGGGGAATTACCAATATTATGGTCCTAGGTTCCTGGGTTAGGGAATTTCCCTCTAGTTTAGAATCAAATGGCTGAGGTTCTAGAGGGTTCTATAAGGATAACTGCCAACGTTATGGTTCCATATTCCTTGTGTATTCATTCTGCATGGCACCTCAAATAGACCTCGACATGATATTAGCAATAATTTAGGCCCTTAAAGTACTTGTGCAAGATCTTTGCGACGGGGGATTCCGTTTGGGGTATTGTACAAACAAACGGCACAGGGAATTTGATGGACTACTATTCCATGCCTCGCAAAGAAACCCCCAAACCCTTCCCTCCCCCAAGCAAACATGGAAGCCCACATGTAGCCTGCGTGCAACGGAAAGTCGTCTGCCTGTAGCTCTCCTTCTCGGGCTTCGGGTTAGGTTGGGGGAGGGTATAGGGTTTTGGAGTTTAGGGTCTAGGTGTTTAGGGTTTATGGTTTTGGCGTTTAGGGTCTTAGGGCTTCAGTAATCCCTAAGTCGATTTTGTCAACCCAACCCTCAACGTCCGGACTCTCTTATAGTGACATGATTGTTCTAGAGCCTTAATTTTGGGAGTTGGGATAGCCAACATCATCTTTACTAGCTAATATCACACGCTAAGCCCTTAAGCCCCTCTATCCTGATAGCACCTGTTTCTAGCTCATGTTCATGTTGATTCTCCATTTGATTCTCCATAGTTGGTAACCCTAGACCCTAAACCATATACTATACCCTGAACACTACTTGGGGGTTCAGGGGCATTTGGTAAGTAGGTTAAGAACCCCTATAACCCATATAGTAACCCTAGTTATCCTCATTATTAACCCACTTACTAAGTCGCCTTGACCCCCAAAGCAAACAGTATGGTAAACTGTATACAGCCCTCACAGATTTTCCCATGATTTTGGGAAGGAGCCTTCCTTCCCTGGGCGCGAAATGGCGGCCCTAGTGGCCTCCAAGGTGTTCTACCACCTAGAAGAGTGCGCCGTCCATGAAGCCCCCCAAACCCTAAACCTTAAACCCTAAACCCGCCATGTTTTGTTGGCAGGGTACCAGTTTCTGTTCTTTGGGTGTCTGCTTGACTCATGCTGGTTTTTTTCTAGTAGATTTCAACTTCTACACTCAACTTGCCATTGTTTTTTGTAGCTTACAACCCTCCAAGCGTTACTGATTGCTAACATGCTGAGTGTTCAGAGAGAAAACTGAGGCTAGCTTGCAGGGCAGGCACTTAGCGTGATGTGTTAGGAGGACCCCCCACCCTGTAATAGTGGTATAATAGGAATATAAGAGGACCCTAATATAGTTACCATTATCCCTTATAGTCACTATTACAGGGTGGGGGGTCCTCCTAAGTGATGTGTGAGTGCAGATGAAGTCTGTTCAACTTTGATACAGGCCATTGTGGAGTTCTGTCTTGCCAAAGCCTACCTGGCACCGGAAAATCACAAACTTTACCGTTGAAACGCTGGCAATTCTGCGGATGTATGAAGTCTAGTACCACCCTGTATACTCTGTACCTAGGAGTTGCAGTTTATTGGGGATTGTAAGTGTTGCAAGGTTCCTCCATCCACCATAGTTGGTATTACCTCGTGACGGCAGAAGATGCGGCATGAGCATGAAACCTTACAGCTTGCACGGGTTTAGGGCTCAGGAAAGTCTAGCGTTCATTGGTGCCCAAACGCTGAACCCTAAACCTCATACTCCCTGAGAACGGGCCTGAACCCACAAAACCCAGCCAAAACACAACATTCTTGAAAACCAAGGTCGACCGCCGAGAACCTTAGCACTTAAGAACTTGAACCCCAACCCTGAAGCCCGAAAGCATCTAAGCCTTAACTGGGTTGCTGTTAAAGAGCTTAAAATGGGTTACCATAGTATGGGTAATTTGGGTTTAGGGTTTAGGGCTGCCAAAAATCTTGGTATAACCCTAAACCCTAGTTCTAGCAACCTAAAGTTCCTTAACAGCAACCCAGCTATCCGCCAACTGCCAGGTATGACGATGCCTTGCGCTTGGCACTGGGTGCAGGTGAGGCCTTTAGGTCTTTGCACTTTGAGGGGCTTAGTATTTGAGGATTCGGATGCAAGGTTTAGGGTTTAGGGTCTAAGACAGTGGAAATGAGAATGGAAACTATTATGGGGCAGTTTCGGGCAGTTCATGCCGGTGTCCCGCAGGGATGTTTATAAGGACGACAGCTTGCCGGAGTTTCACACCTCATAAGACCTATGATGACCTATGTAGCGTATACAATGCAGTCCAAATGGAGTTTCACATAAAAAGGGGACCCCGATATGGAACCCTAATATTGCGACCCTTATTATTGGGACTCCTAAAAAGGTACCCCTAATGTGAAGCCGCCAACTATACAGCAGAAACCTGAATTAAGGCTTTCCCCTCGTTACCCTCCTTTACTGGTTCTAAAGTGTAGGGAGCGGGGGCTGAGGGTGACGCCCTAAACCGTAAACCTCTTGGAGGACGTCTCTTCGACCTGAACAATCGGTCTGAATACGTGGCCCGGGCCTGAGTGGGACAGGGGGTTTCGGGCTTACTTGAAGGGGTGGGGGGACTTAGTAAGTAGGCGTGTAAGAGGGATTACTGGGTGTATTAAATGGCTTATGTGGCCACTATCAGGAAACACTCGTGCTTAAGCAAGGATAGCGTTCAGGGATGTTCAGGGAGTAAGTTGCAAGGACTTTCACTTTGATTTTTGTGGGTGAGTGCGACGCGGGGTGTCCGGGCTTGGTGTATCAAAAGCCACTTTAGCCCCCTTTCCCTTTGGGCCTAAACCATAAGCTCTGAACCCCAAACCCTGCTTCCTTTTGGGGTCGTTAGTGATGCCTTGGGTTTGTGTGGTAGATGAGTGGCCTAGGGCTATTCATCACAAACACTGCGAAGCAATGGCGAGAGGAGTACCAGTACTGCCATCCCTAAAAGACGGACACCGAAAAGATGGACAGTATGACAATCATATGATTCTTAGGTTGCCTGAGGCTTGTGTTACCAAAACGTTCCCGTTGTACTGACAGAAGGAGCAACTTGGAAGGTTAGTAACCCCTATAAGCCATATAGTGACCCTAATCATCCCCATTATTAACCTACTTACTACGTCCCCCTGACCCTCCAAGAAGGGTGAGACAAGAAGCGTCGGGAAGTGCGCGACCCAGGAGAAGATTGTCGCAGTCGCCATCGATGAGTATGCCACCTGCCGGCAAGGTAAAGAGTGTAAGCACAATAACTATTTAGGGTATAGGGATTAGGGTTTAGGGATAGTATCCTTCGATAATGGAGAATCAAATGGAAAAGAACATGGAAATTGAAATGGAAAATGGGATTATGTTTGGAGCAGCAGTAACAGTGACAGTGTTTAAAAAGAAAGTCGTAATAATAATAATAATACTGATAGCAATAATGATGACAATCAGGGAAACAACACTAATGGCTTGAAGAAAAGTGATGATAACCAGAAATTGATAATCACATTGACAACAATGCTGGAAGCAGTGAAACCAAAAAATGCACAGGACTTCAAGCCTTTGTTGACTCGATAGCAGGAAAAGCATTCAAGTTAATCCAAATAAGGCAAAGTGAGTAGGGCGGCTATGCACCTTTAATGAGGACTTAAGAAGTGCGAAGGAAGGCTCAAGCAAGGGTTGATAAGGCTCTCGCACCTCAGACGCTCGCAATACCTTCAGTTCCCATGAAAACATTGACCTGCACAAGACATCCTGCAATCTCCAAGCTGGTCCCTTTAGAATCTGGGAGAGGCACCACTCATCATTCGCCTACAGCCCCTACAGATTCCAAGGGCCCTTTCTTTCTCCTTTGGAAGTCTTCAGAAGATGTCTTTGAGCTATTGTAGATTGCCCCCCAAACTGGAGTAGTTGTGAGTGAGGTTGCAAGTACCTTGATCCATGTATGCTTATAGCTTTCAAGTTCTGAACATTACAAGGGTTTGGGGTCTAGGTTTTGGAAATTCAAGTTGACCCGTTTCAGTTCGCTTATCTCCCCCTTAAGTAGATAGACTATGGCGCATATCGGGATCTTGTTATAATATACCCAAAGCCATATTCTATCTACTTAAGGGGGACTATAGGTTTTCAGGGATGAGGTAAGGGTTGAGGGTTTGTGAGAGATCAAACAGAAACTTCCAAAGTACACGGTCCCAGTTAAGGTCAAGGGTTAAGGGTTTAAAGTATAGGGTTTCGGGTGTACTGCCCCAGCTGAGAGCCTTCACCCCCCGAAATCCTAAACCCTAAACCGAAAAAACCTTATATAATCCCTTGTGTACCCCATAGTCTATCTACTTAAGGGGGACTATAGACCATAAATCCTGAACTTCTGAACTGCCTACGCCCCCTAAACCCTAAACCCTGAATCCTAAACCCTAAGCCCTAAGCCCTGAATCCTAAACCCTAAATTCTAGACTCTAAACCCTAAATCATGGACTTCTGAAATGTCCCTCATGAGGTCAAGCTGACGGGAGAAAACTTCGAGCTCGAGATGAAGAAGAAGGATCCACGCTTCCTTCTAGAACGTGAGACTCGCTACGCCCAACGACGTAGACGTATCGTCCCCCGTAAGTAGATAGAATATGGGGTATTTGGGGATCTTATTATAATGTACCTAAAGCCAGATTCTATCTACTTATCGGGGACGATATGTTCACGCTGTACGAAGAAGTGTCCTTAAGGACTGTCAGTGGAATTAGCGCCTGTTAAACCCACAGGTTAAAGCCCAAACCTATCAAGAAGTCTGAACCCAAGCACCTCTGAACCAGGCTTTCTTGGCATTCGAATAGGCAAAACCCAACCAACTAAAAACTCTAAACCCTAATCCCTAATAACAGCCTTGAGTCCCACAACGATGGCTATAGCTGCGGTGTTCTCTGAGCTATAGTCTAAGCTCCTTAAAGGGGGGTTATACAGGATTTAGGGTTTAGGGTTGAAGATTTAGGGTTTAGGGTTTAGGAATTAGGGTTTAGGGTTTAGGATTTAGGGTGTAGAGTCTAAACTCCTTAAAGAGTGTTATTTGGGGGATTATCCAGGGGAGTATTATAGGGGTCATTAAGGGGGATTCTAGGAGTTTAGATTCTAGCTCATCTGGAACTGGCAGTTGATAGGGTTTAGGGTTTAGGGCTGGTATGGCGGATATGAAAATTCCTGCATGACTCAGATTTAGGGCCTGGGGTTTAGGGTTGTACTGGAGAATTAACATGGAAAAGAAAATGGAGTATGAAATGGAAACTGGGGTCATACAGTGGCGTGGGTTTTATAGGCTTGATACTAAAAATCCTGCATTGCCCTAACCTTGGGAATTATGGTATTATAGTATGCAGGATTTCTAGTATCAACAGTATTGCCTGTAGATTCCTTTGTTGGAATGCCCACGATCACTTCGCAACCTGCGGATCTCCATGAGTGTAGGATTGTTTGGATAAGAGTCGGGGGAATGTATGAGACTCTAAAGTTTTCTTTTTTTCGAGATGCCGCCGACATGGCATGGGACTGTACACCACGCCCGGCGTCTTGAAGCGGAGCAATAGCCCAAGTCATTTTCAGGCACTGATATCTAGTATTATAGCACCAGTGTTGCGTAAGATACTTACCTAGCACTGCTTAGGGTCTAATTCCAACTCCCCAGGTTGCAGAGTCTTAACCTCGAACGCCAACCTTTTCGCAGGAAAGGAAGTAAATATCTTGTTTGATTACATGGACATTCAGTGGGACAACCTGTTCAACAGCAAAGCATCTGGTGAAGGGGCATATTCCGTAGGAGAGAGACTGAAGCAAGGAGGGGGATTGTGCCAGACGAGAAGAACCCTCAAGACATGCTGTTGGCTTTCTGTAGACTCAAAACCACGCACCTGGGGCCCAAAGCAGGGGTTCCTTCATAGGTGCTTTCGGGCCTAAATATATACTAAATAGGTACATGTATCCTTTGGGGACAGGTGGTTCTTGCTGGTGAAGCATTCTGTGAGCTTAGCTTGAAACTTGGAGAGCTCGGCACCTCGACCCGGTTGCCCCCGGCCCCGAGACCCCAAAGCCGAACCTACTATCAGCGCCTAAATACTTCCCGATGTCATTTTGAGGTCCATTTGAGGGAGCCTGTATTATAGTTGTATAAAGCATCTGGGACCATAAACGTGAGTATTTAGGCCCCCCATCGTATAAACCCTAAACGGGCGAAAAGAAATGTCAAAGGGCTGGAAGCTGAGGGTTGCTTCTGAGGGATCATCGCTGAGGAATGGCATGCAAGGGAGAGTGCATAAAACACCTACCCTGTTAGCATTGTAGCCTGGAATCAGGCGCAAAAGCGTGCGCATAAGCAAACAAAACCCTAAGCCCTAAACCCTAAGCCGCAAACCCGAAGCCATAAATCTGAAACCCTAATTCCATAGAAAGCTGAAGAGGACCCAGTAGCCATCGATAGCCGCCTCGAAGATGTCGTCAACCGGATGTTTGGACGCTGCCTGGAGGACTCCACCGGATTTTGCTTTGGTGTTCTAAGTTTAGGGTCTAAGGTCTAGGATTTAGTTTTTTTTTGGTATAGGGTTTAGGGGCCAGAGTCAGTCTATTCTAGAATCATTACACATCCTTCGGTCGTCGCATGATCCCATAGCCTCCATAAGCTTGAATCCGAAATCCTAAGCCATTAATCCTGCATGCGTGGCTCACAAGGGGTCCAAGAAATCTGAGGACAAGGCCTACAAGCAGGGCCTTGGTATGGCTTTGGAGACACGACGCCTTGACAAGGTAGTGGAGATGTCTTGGGAAGCCCTAAGCCCTAAATGAGCTGTAGTCTAAACTCCCTAAGTGGGGGTTGTATAAAGGATTCTACTATAGGGGACTATTATAGGGGTACATGAGGATTATATGGGGTTTAGGGTTTAGGGTTTCCCATAATTAGGGGTACC